GTCCCAGGGTAGTACAAATGTTTAATGCACTCAGCCGCTAATGGAAAGGTTGGAGGTTCAAGTGCACAGAATGAAGGCCTGGAGATCTGCTTCCCAAAAATTAGCCACTGAAACTTCCGGGCAACATGGTGCTATAGTGAAAAGCACCATGCCGTCCCTCCACAGCAAAGATCAGAAAAAACTAAGTCAGAGTCACATGTCAATCCTGAAACCCTAATCATCAAATGAAGAGATAAAGAACTCATCCAAGCACCAAAAGGGAATAAGAAACTGACTGAGAACACAGCGTGAGGAGAAATACATGCAGAGGTCCCCTATCAGCTACTGCAGCACGGATCCACCATCTTGGACCCAACAGCATAAATTCTCCAAAACTGACATCTTTCTTCATCACTGACTTCAAACTTCCTATTGCTCAAACTGATTGTAAGGGTAACTCTTTGTAGTTCCTTACAAAGATAATTCTCAGCTTAATGATGACCTTGAACTGATAGAAAAGCTGTATAATGTTTGGTTAAGAGTATGGATTCTGAAGCAGACTTGTTGGATTTAAAATGGGATTTCACCAATTATTGTCTATGTAACATTAGGCAAGTGTGTCAGTTATAAATTTATTGTGTCTCAGCTCCAAATCCACTCTTCTTTGTCCGGCATTGAGAAACTGGAGCTGGACCCTATAAACGCTTCTCCTTTGAATAGTTGATACAATGTCAGGCTTTGCCAGTAGAGAGCACAGGAGAGACACTGCAAGCATAGCAAAGGAAGGAGCTTTTCTTCCTGGTCCCAGTGTGCTTTTATTTTTTATTCCTGTGGCATAACTGCCAGTGAGGGAGACCCAGTTGCAGCCACCCTCCAGTCAGTTTTGTAGGAATTCTGGTGGATGATCTTTTCCTTACCAGCCATGGACCACAAGCTATTGACTAAATCTGGCCCATGGCACCCCAGTACAATTTACCCACTATCCAATGAGTCACATTCACATCCTGTCCAATAAGGTCAGAATCTCAGCACTGGGATGTGGGGGAGAGTGAGTTCATTCATGTTTGTTCCTTCCTGGGTACTCTGCCTCAGCCACAGAGATAGCAGCTCCTCCCCAAATTTGCTATTCCTTTCTTCTTTATTGTTTTCTTTTACCTCTTGATGTAGTCAACCACTTTTTACTAATCAATACTTCTTATATAAAATTATTTTGTTCAAATTACTAGTGGGGTTGTTTCTATCTCCTGAATGGATGGACACTAACTGATAAGAAAATCTTTAAAATGATAATAATAATGGTGCTTATTTCTTATATTTGTTTTGATGGTTAAAAGAAGTTTATATATGTAAAACCCTTAAACCATATATACAGTTGGAAACAGTTTTAATGCATATCAGAGACAGAACTGATAATCTCTAGCAGAACTTTCAATAGATACTCTTCTAATCTAGCAAAAAAAAGAAAAAAGAAGAATTATCTACCTTCTATGGAATATCTTCTCCAGCTCCCTAGAATTACAACTGCACTTTGTTGATACCTCTATTATAGTTTTAATTATAACACAAGGATACTAAATCAGAGTACATCTTATCTAACAAATAAAATTTATTGAGGGAATAAATTTACTGAAGCTCTTGGTATAAAGTAGATGCTCGATAAAGGTTTTTGGTGAGTCATAGCATAGCTACTTTGCAAATTTATCAGAACTCAATGCTGTCCCTAATTTTTCTCATCATTCTGATTCATGTCTTGCATGGATTGCTAACAGAGTCTTCCAATTTGGTGTTTCATCACAGCTCATGAATATGTTTATGTCCCTCCATTGTCTTGACTGAAAACAACTTTGGGTTTCACTTCAGTTATGGGTTATCAAGAAAATATGATACTCCTGTAACCTCTCTTTATTCATTATCTTCAACAGTATGGTTAATTAAATTCTTTTGCAAAGCCTTATCCACTGACACCGCTTCCTTTCTTTTCTTTATTCATTTTCCAGGAATACTAGGATAACTTTAAAATCATATAGATATAATTCAGTATGTATACTTTGGAAAACAGATATTTTGTCTTCAAAAGGAGAAACTGAAAGGAGGCTCTCAAAGATTAAAGAATAGATATAATTGGCCATGATCTATAGTTGTATGACAAGTTATTTACTGGTGTACTATAGTTTGAAAGAAGAACATATTTAAGTATTATATAGTCCTCTGCCATACATCCTAGTGGAATGGCAATTATTTAGAATAACAACACAAAGTATTCTTGTGAAATCAAAAGCTCAAGAGTACACATAAAATAAATTCTTATTCTTCTCTTTTGAGTTCTATCTTGTATTTATTTCAAATTAAATTCCAACACAGCAAAACTGAAAGCTGAAGGGGTATCTTCATCCATTGATGACTGGTATAAAGTTAAGTCGCTTTTCTTTAAACTGCAAGTCCTTTCAACTGTGTAGAAATCTCCATTCTGATTGTCTTTATTAAACAACACTCACCTGAGTTGTGTGCACTTTACATTATAAAAGGGTAAAACGTACACATGAATCTTAGCAGAATGAGTCAGTATGTTCACTCACCACAACTGGCTTCGTTTGCTCTGTTAGGGCAGTCAGGTGTAAAATCACAGACGTTGCTGGACGAAATACTGTCTGCATCTTCACATGGCACAAATCCAGCTGCAAAATTAAGAGACCAAGATGATACAACATTCTCTTCCTCTCAAAAAAGTAAATAGAATGCATAGTTGTTTCATAAACACTAGTTTTTTTAATATGCTGATGCTGAAGATAAGAGCTTGATCAAAGGCCCTATCAGGTTAAAACTTTCTGTTTTCATCAAGTGTATTGTCCTTCAAAAGTAAACATAAGAGTAGTGCTCGAAGGACTGCCCTGTAAGTGTCAACGAATTCTTCAGTGGCTTTAATTTGAGTATCCTGTTGCTGTCAAGTCGATTCTAATTCATTGCGACCCCACGTGTTACACGGTAGAACTGTTCCTAAGGGTTTTCTGGGCTGTAATCTTTACAGAAGCAGACTGTCAAGCCTTTCTTCCATAGCGTCACTGGGTGGGTTCCAATCACCAACCTTTAGGTTAGTAAACCCGTTGCTGGCTAGTCTATTCCGACTCATAGCGACCCTATATGACAGAGTGTAACTGCCCCACAGAGTTTCCAAGGAGCGCCTGGTGGATTTGAACTGCCGACCTTTTGGTTAGCAGCCATAGCACTTAACCACTACACCACCAGGGTTTCCTTAGGTTAGTAGTCAAGTGCAAACCATTTGTGCCACCCAGGGACCTTAACTCAAGCATAAGATCAGGGAAAATCTCTTGCCATTCTGCCAAACCAATATAACATAAATTACCGACATCATGACACATATTATAACCTCCCTTTCAGTCAGTCTCCCTCCCTCAACCTCTTCCCAGTAGTGATACTAAATTCCATAAAGGAGATCCTATAATTGCGTATCGGACAAATTTGCAAACACACTAAGAAAATTGTTTTTCTTTCCTTTATATAAAGCCATTGGCCTTTCCACGAATAACATACATATCTTCTCCCTCATTAAAATTACGCTCTAACCAACTGAACTGGTGATCAGATGTAGCATCCATAAGAGAGTTTTAAGTTAATTTATGAAAAGAATTCTCAGTAAGTGAGATCAAGTACTTCTCAGAGATTTCTGCTAAGGTTAATTTTAGTGATAATTTAAAGCCTATAACCACACTTTTGTATCCAATTACATTCTCTTCAATATCTTCTACTATTCTAATTCTGGTGATGCCGTATTTGATTAGAAGAAAAAAATGTTTAATTAAATATCAGAAATAAGGTAATGCTGGTTAACCCTCAAAAACTCATGAATCATTTAATCGGCTGCTTTTCATTCCTCAATGTCTATCATAACTACACACACAGACACACACACACACACAGAGCTTAGAAAAGGTTATTATAAATGCAGGGCACACATTCCAAATAAAATGAATACACATTGACACAATATAAAATGGGCATATAGAACTACATACTCTAACAAAAGAAAGATGTCTTTAATAAAGAATGTTTAATTAAAAGCTCTTTAACACAATTCTCAATCCAGAATGGTTCCCCTCCATATCATCCTTGATAAGTGCATTGGCTCCTATAAAGATGCCACTTTTCACTCACTAAATGTATCATTTAATAAGGAAATATGACTTCAGAATATATAATTTGCCTTATTTCTACATGCAAATATTTCCATGTATAGGGAGTAAGAAAATGCAGTGTGACTGTTTTCAGGCAACATTTTAACTATTGTTCATTTATTAATTGTGACCCAGAGCAGCAATGGAAAAGGGAAACATCAATTAGCATTAGAATGACAAATAAGCGCAGGCACAATGCACACGGCTTCAGTGTGCCTGCAGAACCTAATAAATGGTTAGATTGCCAAAACACCCATTCCGCTATTTGGGAACCATTTTTTATGACTATCTTTCTGTCTCCTATTTAGTCTTCTGTTACTAAAAATAATTATGTATTAAATGTAAACATAGAATTTTAAAATCAAGGTTTAAATTTTTGGCTGGCTTTAGAGTCACTTTCCCAAACTTAATGATTTTTTTGAACCCCTGGGTTATTCTGAAAAACAAATTTTATTACACATTCATTTGAAGTGCCAAATTAAATTAACAGAAAATTGAGTTTTTTAGAGTTTTAAAAACATGTACAATAATTACATTTTTTTCAATAATTCTTATGATTAAAAAATTTGAATGTGACTATTTTGGCCATAGGGTAGCATCTCCTCCATATTATTGAAGGAGAGGCCTAAGACATAGACCATGACACATAATATTTTTTTACCTATAAAAAAAGACGTTTTAAGTTTCAAGAACATATGATAAAATCTATATCCCAGAGTTAGGCACTAGTGAGCTATACTATACGGGGACTCTGATATGTTTTATATTTTTTGTGAAGAAGAACTAATGGTTGTGATGTTTAAAATTACAACAATCGTAAGACAAACTTACCTTGGTTTTTTATACTGGTACCTGGAAGTGACTCATATGAAATTTCACATTCCTGGGAAATATCGATGTCATCTAGAGCAACTGTAGCATTTGATGATAAAATAGTAGCTTCTAAAATTAACTATAGTTACAGAAAGATGAAATTATAAAAAGATTTCCATAAAAGTAAATGTCTTACAATCATGCTTCTTTGTGTAAAGAAACTCATTTGCATCTGTCCTATCTACCAATCTAATTTTAGAAAATCGTTTTGACTAGAACATTCAAATTATAAATTTATAAAGTCATAACTGCTCTGACAGTAACTTATGTAACCTTAATATGTTAGATAACCTTGTTTCAATTAAAAGTTGTAACATTCATCACTACTGAAGGGCTGCCTTCCCATTGGAGTCATTAAGAGTCATATGCATTTAAATTGAGTTCTTTGAGGTAATCATCTGTGTGGTTTACAACTCAATTTAACTGAAATATAAATTCATTTGTCGTGGGTCTGCTGGTGGCAACTATTCATTTCCATATCAGAATATTTAAATACATATATTATGTATACATACACAGAAACATACTTAGTGAGGTAAAGTACACAATAACCACACTCAGTGGTTAATAATATGCATACGCTAAAGCACTCTAAGTCATCTAAGTTTAATCTATTCTAATATTCTGAATAACGACAGATATAATTTGTTAATCACTCACATTATTATGTTGTTATTCCACAATCTTAAAAAGGAAGGGAGGGAGGGAGGAAGGAAAGAAGTGAGGGTGGGAGGGAGGAAGAAAGGAAGGAAAGAAAGAAAGAAAGAAATCATGTCTGGAGCCTTAAGGACATCAGCAGGACTAACCAGCCCACGACCCAGCTACTAGATAAATCTCCATTTTATTAGGGAGGATCTCTAACTTCAAGGATCTTATAATTTAGTCAGCATGATACATTACATCTAAAATACTTAACTGCTATGGAAAAGGTGTACAGAGTACTAGGAGGATATTAAAAAAAAAAAAAACTTCATTAATTTTGCCAGGAATGCTATCTGAGGACTTGGGAAAAGACTGGTGGTGAGGTAGTATTAAATCTTATAATTACTGCCTAAGATTTAGTGAATTCAAGAAATTGAGGTAACAGTCCAAGCAAAATCATAGTGAAGTGAAAGTGAATGCCATACTGAAAAAACTTTGGATGGGTGTAATAAGAGTATAGTATTTTAAGAGGACAACACATTAATAGAATAATAGATGGAAAGATCAACTGTATGAATTGCTGCAGCCACACTGGAGAGCATGGACTACAAATTTAAGCCCATGTCTCAGTATTTACTCTGCAGAAATGTTGACATCAATGCTAGTTATGATAACAAATGACTGGAACACTTAAGTGTTCAATAAATAAATGGCGATGTAGGCTACAGAATACTACGCAAGAGTTAAAAATAATATCTATCTTTATATGTTAAAATGAAAAAAATTCAATGCTTGTTTTTGAGTAAAAAATTAAATAACAAAAAAATTTGTAGTATGATATATTACTTTCTAAGTAACATCATACTATAAAACATACAATCATCTAGATTTCTAGCTATATGTGGGGCATACATACATATTAAATAATTATAAAATAGACTGGAAGTAAAATGAACTAGCATCAATAGTTACCTCAAGATAAAGATTGTGATGGGAAGTTAGGGTGGCCGAGAAAAACTATTGCTTTGGGTACAATTTTTTATGTTTTAGAATGAAATGTGTATAATTTTAAACAATTCTAAAAAATCTGATTAAAGCTGGTGTCTGTAGAGTCTTGGCCAACTATACTATAGACTGAAAAGAATCTACACAGCTTATAAAGCAGCATTCTGATGAAAGTTATACAAACGTTGTAATTTATCAATATGATACTATTTTTAGACAACTTTAAAATAATTTTCCTTTTATTCATTATTGTAATATATTTAGCATTGAAGTCAATTAAAATACAGGTACAAAGTTCTTCAGACTGATTAAATAAGCATTTGTTGACTACTGTATTTGAAGGCCTGTGGTACTCAAGGAAAAGCTGGAGAAAAGACAGAACACTGAGGACATTTCTTGAGGCCCCAGAGAAGCACATGCTCTTATTCTTTGAATGGATTGAATGGGCCCTAGCATGAGTCGAAGTGAATCTATGGTATACAGCCTTTAAGATATGATTATATCACTTTGCCCAAAGGGAATCACCAGACTCTTTTAGATACTTGTATTAAAATGCAGGTATAAAAACAACCTCCAAAACCAAATAAAAATGGTATCAGGCAATCTATACCACTGCTTCCTTACTTTTATGTAATTAAATTAAGGATCATATAATGAAAGATTGTAATTCTACTATTAATTTAAAAAAAATAGTCACTTCCTCTTAAATATATATATCTTATACCTGTAAATAATTTTCATCTAATAATTCTGAAATCATCTTGGCTATTCCTACTATCAGTTGCTTCTTTTAACCAAGCAGATGTTTTGGGTCGTGATCAAAGGCAGTTCTTTTTGGGAACTACAGTATCAATTAATAATCAGTAAGTGAGAAAGGGGTTGCTCAAAAGTTTTATTTCAGTCATGGATAAGAAACTTATTTTATAAGATTTTCAAGGTAATTTGCAAATTTAAATTTTAAATCAAATGCAGGTATCTTTCTTTTCTGTATCTATTTTTTCAGAATCTTGCCGATTCTTGTCTTATTTGATTTATATTATATTTTGCCACTTCTGAGTCAGCAAAATAATTTCTTGGTTTTACTTTTGAGAATGACAACAACTTATAAATTCTAAAAAGATGAAATGATTACTTTTTACATATGCAAATCAGAGGGAAGCTTTTCCAGAGAAATATTCTGCTAGCATATTTAAGTTTTTTTCTTGGTATATTGTTTTAAAAAAGAATAGCAAGTAAGTAAAATCAACTGATCTTTGACAAAGGAGCAAAGACATTCAAATGGAGAAAGGAAAGTCTTTTAAATTAACGATGCTGGGACAACTGAACATCCACATACAAAAAAACATTAATCTAGACACAGACCTTACACTTTTCCCAAAAATTAACTCAGAATAGATCACAGACCTAAATGTAATACATAAAACTATAAAACTTCTAAAGGATGACATAGGAGAAAATCTAGATGACCTTGGGTTTGGCAATGACATTTTAAATATAATACCAAAAGCACAATCCATGGAAGAAAAGAATCAGTAAATTGGCCTTGATTGAAACTAAAAACTTCTGCTCTGCAAAAGACACTGTTAAGAAAATGAAAAGACAAGCTTCAGACTTAGACAAAATCTTTGCAAAGCACATGCATATCTGATAAAGGGTATGTATTGAAAACATACAAAGGACTCTTAAAAGGCAACAATAAGGAAAAAAGCAATTAAAATATGGTCAAAATATCTGAACAGACACTTCACTAAGGAAGACATACATATTGTCAGAGAAGACAAAAAATGCGGAACATCCCGTCATTAGTCATTAGGGAATTGCAAATTAAAAGAACAATGAGATACCATTACACATCTATTTGAATGACTACAATCCAAAACACTGACAATACCAAATTCTGGCGAGGATGTGGAGTAATAGGAACTCTCATTCATTGCAGGTGCCAATGTAAAAAGCCACTTTAGAAGACAGTCTGTCATTTCTTATAAAGTTAAGCATAATCTTATCATATGATCCAGAAATCACTCTCTTAGGTGTTTTCCAAATGAGTGGAAAACTTATGTACACACCAAAACCTGGAATGTTTATAACATCTTTTTTTATAATTGCCAAATTTGGAGGCAGCCAAGATGTCCTTCAATAAGTGAATGGATAAACAAACTGTTGTATGTTGATATAACGGAATACTATTCAGTGATAAAAAGAAATGAGCTATCAAATCACAGAATGGCATGAAGGAATCTTAAATGCATATGGCTAAATGAAAGAAGCTAGTCTGAAAAGATTATATACAGTATGATTCCAACTATATTACATTCTGGAAGTTTGGGGAGGAGGGGACAGGGGTAGGAAGAACAGCTGGAGCACAGGGGACTTTTAAGGCAGTGGAAGTGTTCTCTATGATACTGTAAGGGTGGACACAAAACATTATACATTTGTCAAAGCCCATAGAACTACATGATACAAAGAATGACCTTAATGTAAACTATGGACTTCAGTTAATACTAATATATCAATATTGGTTTATTAATCACAGCAAATGTATTATGTCAGAGCAAGATATTTATAATAGGGGAAACTGTGTAGAGAGAAGGGGTACATAGGAGTTCTCCATACTTTTTTCTCAATTTTTACATAAACCTAAAAGTGCTGTAAAAAAATCTCTTAAAAATAATAAGAGATAAAATGAAAATATACATCTAAGAGAAAATATAGAAAATTGGAATATAATAAGAGAAGAGAGAAAAATTGGAATATAATTTTTGAAGAAAAATGCTGATATCAATAATAAAAGCAACAGAGAGGTGTGGCCAACATAGCAGTGTAGTCAGATGCTTCCTATATCCCTCTTACAACAAAGACCTGGAAAAACAAGTGATTTAATTGTATGTGAATATCTAGGAGCTCTGAACAAGCCAAAGTTGAGGAATCAGACTGAGTGGCGGGGGGGAGAGGGAGACGGTTTGGAAGAAGCAAAGAGCGCCAGAGCTTCAGAGGCAAAACTGCAGCTCTGCAGCCACAACCGCTCTGCAATGAAGCAGGCAAACAGCTGTGCTGTGCACGTGCTTGGGAAGCATTTTTCACATCCAGGGAGACCCGGCAGCAGAGATTCTGCTTGGATGCCCCAAACCAGTGAAAAGCAGCTCCCACGTGGCTAAAGATAAGTACCTGCATGTGGCCTTTCACAAGGATTTAAAAAAAAAAAAAAAGCCCATTTGGGGAAAACCTCTCTCCCTTTTACCTCCTCCCTCCCTGCTCTGCACCGGGAGTCCACTGGGCCGGAAGTAGATTCCAAAAGGTGCCTTGACCCATTCTCCTGGCCTTGGAGAGGGAACTAATAAGCTACTGGCTCCCCTAAGCCAGGAACACAGTACCGGCACAGCTCCTGTGCTAGGCACAGGCATAAGGGGTCCGCAGACTCTGAGGGCCTTA